TTGGAAGCGGTCCCCACCCATTACTCATCAGACAAAAAGATCCTCCGCCGTTCCTTTTCGGCGAGCGAAACCAGCGGCCGTGATCGCATCATCACTATTCGGCGCTAGGGTTTCGGCCGTTCCCATCACCGCCGTCCTCTTCTACCGCAGGAATCGACATGTCAGCTTCCTTCGCCGGCGATCCTCCGAACCATGGCGGAGATGCTCCCGTTCAGTTGGACGATGGCGTTCCGGGCGATCAGGAGGGGGAGCAAGAAGCAGCTGATGCGGCGATGCAGCTTGTGGGCTCGAACCCTAATCAGCTCACGCTGTTGTTTCAGGGGGAGGTCTATGTTTTTGACTCGGTGACGCCGGAAAAGGTAATGTTTGCCGAAGATTTCTGTTGATTATGCTTGTTTTTTTGCATACATTAGAGAACTTAACTGATACTTGATGCATGCTTCGTTAATTTCGTTGTTAGTTTTGATGGCGAACAAGTTGGATTTGTAGTATGATAAATTATGTAGGTTTATAATTAAAATTCACACCTTCGTGCTGTTCTTGCCATTTATTTTGCTCATAGCCATCGGCACATTTTGTCGACACCGAAAAAGCTACCACCTTTTCCCTCAGGTTCCAACGAAATTGGACAGTCTTTTGTTTGAGTTGGGGCAGGATTTGTTTTTTTTTAATAGTTTTATTGTTAAGAAGATGGAAATAAGATTTTAGTGCAATGGTATCAGGTTATAAATGTGATGTGTAGATTATGATTAGATTAACATGTTTTTATGTGCTGTAGTTTATATGTAACTAGTGAGTATTATGACTAGATAAGAGTCTTCAGGAGTTTTGTAATTTTATAAATTGCCTTTGTTTTGAGACATTAGGATATGATGAATGAAATGAATTGAGCCTTCATTCTCTGAGTTCTTGGCCAATTTCTCTCCCTCAATCAAGTTTTAGAGTCTAAGAGTTATCTACATCTAAGAATCTGATATTTATCTCTCACCCAACCAACAATGAGAATCAATGATGCTCTTAGTGAGAGTTGACCTCATTGGTGGTTATTGCAATAAATGGTAGATTTGAGGTTGTTAGCAACTTTAAAATTGATGTGGAAAAGAAGAGATCAGAAAACATAGAGAGAAGTTTTTTTTATTTCATTTATTGTTTTCTTAATACTCCCAATAAAGTGTATTTATAGAATTACATGAACTCCTAAAGGCACGTTAGCTATAAATTAAATCCGTACACCAATCAAACTATCTATAATTACTTGACAATAAATCCCATTAATCAATTACCAAGCTCTTTAAATTGAGGTTATTCTTCATGGTCAATTAAGTAAACAGAAGAATTGGACGGTGGTGAGCAAATTTGGGTTTTTGTAATTGGATCTAAGCTTCGATGGTGAGATGATCTCATTACCGCGAATGCAATAAATAGTAGATTTAAGGATGTTAATAACTCCAAAATTGAGTGGAGAACTAAATGAATTAAAAAATACTTAGAGGAGCTATTTCATTTCATGTGTTTGCTTTTTCTAATACTCTGAATAGAGAGTATTTATAGAATTACAAGGAGTCTGAAGATCACATTAGCTATTCATTAAACTCCCTAAAGTTCTAGCTCCAAAAGTCCTTATGTTGAATGCCAAACTTTAGGTTTTCACTCTGATAATGAGTTGACTTAGACTTAGAGGTGTGGATCTAATGCATTTAATTATCGTGGCTGGTGATTAAGGATGTTTGGTAGACTTCTAGAAGTGGGAGAATTTTATGTGGGGTTTAGGCTAAGAGAAAAGGTCGGCTAAGGACTTAGTTCCAGCCAGCTTTAGGACTGCTCTTTAAGGTTTTACCTTTAGGGTTATGACATGGAGGGGGGTTTTAGGCATGTATTCTCTTGGAAGTTTTAGGGAAAGTTTTGCATATGTGATATGATATATTTGGAGGTAATCTAATAGGCATAAGGGTGTTTAGTGTTGCTTATGGCAGGACTAGTTTAATGTTTAATTTGGATTGATTTGGCTAGTCTTGAAATATGTGATTAAGGAATGACTTGATGGTGTCTTTAAAGGTTGGGAGGATTAGAACGATTTAAGGAATCAGTGGATATCTATGAAGCACGAACACAAACACGATACCAGGACACACTATAATTTCAAAAATAGGACACCACATGTCATGGACACATTTTTATATTTAATTAATTATTAATATAAAAATATATTTTTTCATTATTCTTTATTAAAAATATCACAACATAAATTATGTAAGAATAAAATTAAACTTACCAAATTTGCACTTCCTCAAAATTTTCTAATATTGGATGAATCTCTCATGGCCTTTGATCTTGATATTTTGATGGGGCTATAATAATTCTCTGCTTGACGTTCTGCATCAATAGGGGTAGTTCATGCTTCATAATCTTATTCTCCTTGTTCCTTCTTGGTCCTCTCTTTGCTCCCAAGTTTCATACTCTACTTATCGTTAATAAATAAATATATATGTGCTCTAATTTGAGACGGAGTTTTGGTACATTTAGAAAGAAATATTTGTGGAATATCTTATCTGGGCAATACCTTTTTATCTCATCATAAATATAAATATTCCAATTTACAAGCACTTGTTCTCAATTTTTAAGGCATGATCTAGTCTTGAAATATGTGATTAAGGAATGACTTGATGGTGTCTTTAAAGGCTGGGAGGATTAGGACAATTTAAGGAATCAGTGGATATCTATGAAGCACGAACACAAACACGATACGATGACACAATATAATTTAAAAAATAGGACACCACATGTCATGGACACAACTTTATATTTAATTAATTATTAATATAAAAATATATTTTTTCATTATTCTTTATTAAAAATATCACAACATAAATTATGTAAGAATAAAATTAAACTTACCAAATTTGCACTTCCTCAAAATTTTCTAATATTGGATGAATCTCTCATGGCCTTTGATCTTGATATTTTGATGGGGCTATAATAATTCTCTGCTTGACGTTCTGCATCAATAGGGGTAGTTCATGCTTCATAATCTTATTCTCCTTGTTCCTTCTTGGTCCTCTCTTTGCTCCCAAGTTTCATACTCTACTTATCGTTAATAAATAAATATATATGTGCTCTAATTTGAGACGGAGTTTTGGTACATTTAGAAAGAAATATTTGTGGAATATCTTATCTGGGCAATACCTTTTTATCTCATCATAAATATAAATATTCCAATTTACAAGCACTTGTTCTCAATTTTTAAGGCATGATAATATTCTCTCAACAACATCATTCTCAGGTGAAAAGGTTCTCAATAAAAGTTACCTTCACAATGTTTATTACATGTACAGTTGGCTTTGTGGGAGTTGATGGGTTTCCAAATGTTATGTAATACCTACCAGTGGAGTTCCTTAAAGGATGTGTGGTTTTGATTGTGGATAATAGCACAAGTTAAATGTTTGAATTTAATGATCAATTTCTAAAAGTCAAACTTTATTTTTGTATTTTTAAGAATCATATTAGGCTTTCTCGAACATTATCTACTAATGTAGAGATGAAAAATCTTATTATAGAATTTCTTAAGCATGCAATTTTTCATCTTTTGATGGAAAAAACATTCCAATTTTCTATCTTGTGTGCATGTTTGTGCGGTACAATTGCGACCATCTAATTTTCGGGAATCTCTTAGTACTGGTAAGAGGCGCCTTGAATTTTTTTCTCTTTGTTGAACACTTTTTATTTTTGTTTCCCCTAATTTCTTTTAAATATCTTGTCATTGACCTGCTTGAGTTTTTTATTTCATTCAACTTTGATCAGCTAGAATTTTAATTGTTAAAACATCAAGTTGCTATTTGATTTTTTTTGTGATTTGAGCTTATCATTGATTTTTTTGGATTTATTTAATCATTTCATTATCTTTTGTATTAAAATTCTCACATTTCTAGATTTCTTGCATCATTCTACTTGTATTAGGAACTCTAAAAGTCTAAATTCTTAATCAAATTGCATCAATGTCAATAATGTTAGCTTTGTAGTACACAAAATCTTGTCGGTCTGTCATTGGAGTTTTCACTTAAGTTTTGTTCATGCCATTGGTTTTGCTACCATGGTAGGCACGATGAATGGAATGTGCAGGATAGTGTTGAAAGATATCGACATTTTTGAAACAGGTTAGTGCTTTTTTTTAAAATTAGTGAATTGGTTTTCATAAGCACTCAAAATAAGTTTTAGGTGTTTTGTATTCTTTTAAAATATATTTATTTTTTCAACCCAAATCTCGACGTTGGCGAGAGGTTCTTGAGCTCTCTTCTTTGCCCAGGGCTTGTAAACTGGGCAATCATATTCAAGATTTGAGGGAATAGAAGATGGAGACAAGTTGATGAAAATTGATGACCGAGGATACAAAAGTCAAAGATGAGACAACGGAAAAGGAATGCCAAGCTTCATCCCAGTCTCTTTCACCAAACTCCTGATTCGATTCTTTGGTGTCAGCAACATGACGATAGTCAGCGATGGCGTTGTTTAGTGAGGATATTTTGGTAATGACAATGAGACTCATGACCTTCGCAAAGCTCACTGTTCGCCTCAATTTCTCTTTTAGCTATCCGGGACAGAGTGGAAACATATCTTTAAACAGAATAAATAGGGATAACTAATATATTTTATTAAACGTAGAATTCGAACAAAATAAAAGTAAAACACAATGAATTCAAAAATAAAATAATAAAATAAAAATGTGATGCAGTTTGATTTTATCTGCATCTTTATAAACACATAGTTACAGAATTTTGCTGTACAAATGGCAAAAACCTATTATTTAAATGAAATGGTGTGCCAAACTTATAACAGTTCTTTGCTTTATCCGCAACTATTTCATTTTCTCTTTACTACCAAAGATGAAGCCCATAATGAAAACTGCATTTTGACATGCAATAAAGATTGCACATTTAAAATGCAGCATCTTACTCAACTTGTTGCATTACGAAAAACAATTGCATTATTTCTTAATATTTCTCTTGAAAAAGACAGTTATTTACCATTGTAGCCATTGAACAGTTTGGGTTTGAGGTTAATAGTTCAGCAAATTCAGTCGGTTGGTTAACTACTTCAATGCAAGCGTGATTTCTTACATTAATTTATTGCTTATGTAAATAGAATAAGCAGGGAGGAACAATGATAATGATACTTTACTAAGATTGGAGATGGTGGATGTCTATTGTCTAGACATTTTCTTACTTTTATTTTATGATTTAGGCCAATTAAGATAGGAATAAGAGTGGAAGAAATGGTTTGTGGTGATGAGAATGGCTGTGCATGGATTGAGCATCACAATGAAATGTTTAGGAAATAACAAATCAACAAAAGAGGTGAGGAGGATGGTGGCCAAGAGATTTAGTACCTTCAGAAGTGGAAGCTATTCTGTTTATTAGAATTGTTTGATTTCTATTTGTACTAACTTAGGTCAAGAAACCAAAAAAAGAATAATGGAAAGTTTTTTTGGAAGTGGGCAATTCAGTTATGAAACTTTCTTCAAGCTGTGTTTTTTTAATTTATTTATTATATGCTAAAAAATTTTAACTAATCTATAATTCCATGCTTTTGACTCTTTCATATTTTTTTCCTTTTAAAGAAAAAGAAGCCATTCCAATGTTTATTTCTCGAACGATGTTAATAAAATCTTACACTCAAATTTGTGTATCCTCCTTTTCTTGCATTATGAAGTAGCAAATTTGTCTTTTCATGATTGTTCTTTTACATTTTTCTTGTTTATTTGTGATTGTTCTCTTGTTTGTTTTTTGAGTTGCACTATGTATGTATAATCTTTGAAAATTTGAATTAAGTGTAGCAGGGGGCAATAGTTGTAACTGGTGAGGCGTTTTTAAAAATCAACCAGATCGATTATAAAGATAGTATACAAAGTTTGATTTAAGTAATGAGTTTCAAGTTGCATCGTGCTATTCTTTTATTCGACTAACAAAAAAAGTTAAATTTTTAAGAACCCTTTGAAGGGAATGTGTTACATCAGTAATTTTACAAATAAAGCTTCTATAAAACATATTACAAAAGATGTATCTTTTATGTTTTTTTTAGCACTTCGTACCATGGCTCTCCCTCATAAGATTCTGGCCTCATCGCTCTGGTGATGCATTTTGCCCATTAAGTATGTGTTGCTTTTTTTTTTTTTTTTCAATTTTTTCTCTGTAACAATGTTAATGCATTTCGCCTAATGAGTTATGAAGTCATCCAAAGTATGACAAGTAACATGGTTACTCAGTGACTTTTTATGTCTCAAAATGCCAAAGATCTATGTAATGATCTGAACATATATTTTTCATTTTCCTGGCAACCATTGATGGTACCAACTAGGTTATCTTCTCTCTATATCCATGAGAAAGATATATTGGTATTGCGAAGACTGCAGACATTGCTTATTCATGATATTCCTATAAATAAAGGTCAAGTCATTGCGTTATTTGGCTAAGTTTTTTAACTCTTTCATGCAAAAAATCTCTGAAAATCTGTTTGGTTTTGCAGGTGTACTTAATATAATGCTCTTAGTTGTGATCATTCTAGTATTCTTATATACGGTGTTTTGTACCGCAGGTGCAAGCTGTATTGTTACTATTGGGAGGGTGTGAAGTGCCTACTAGCATATCTAGTTCAGCATTTGCCTGCAACCAGGATGATAGGGTATGCCTAAAAATTTAAGGGGCATTTACATACATAGCACTCAATTCTTATGTTTTTACATATCTAACACTTAAATTTATCTTTTTACATTTCTGCCACCCGAATTTTTCATATCACTTAAAGAGCATCACTATTCTAACTTTTAAAAGTGAAATACATCTTTTAAAGCATAGGTAAGTTGGCATATATGTAAAAATTTGAGTTTAGGTGTTAGATATATAAATACATAAGAAATGAGTGGTATGCATGTAAATCTTTCAAAATTTTAAATGCTTCATCAGGTTACAAACCAGAAATTGTATTGATATTTTTCTTTTTGTTTGTAACCAGGGAATGGATGATATATTAAGGAGAACTAATATACCAGCAAAACGGTTAGCTTCTCTTATTAGGTTCCGTGAAAAGCGTAAGGAACGATGTTTTGACAAGAAAATTCGATATGATGTTAGAAAAGAGGTTGCTCTCAGGTATGGGAGGTTGCGTTTTTCATAAAATCCCTAGCTTTTCTAATTACTTGGAAACTAAGATTGAGTTTTAAAGGCACTATTTTGACATTTTAACCCATTATGTTTCTGGAAATGTCAGACCTCTGGCTTTGGAACCATCTAGGTTTTGTTAGCGGTGACGTGAATGAGAATGAAGGGGCGACTTGAGCATAACTTTTTCCTAAACGACATGTAAATTTGATGTTACTTCTGCTCTGAACTTGTTTATGTGTTTTCTAATATCAATTTAGAAGGGATGTGATTCAATTTTCCTGATAAAAGCTATTTTGTTAAAACAATCCATTGGAATGTTTTTATTTTTAAATTTTTTGTCATCATTCATGATGCCTAAGATAAAAATTTATGCAGGGAAATAATTAGTTATTGGCAAGCATTTGTTCACGTGTCTTCTTTCGGTGGCCCATTTTCTAACTTGTGTTGTAGTAGTTATTTTCAGTCTATCCTTTATTATTTATACCCCACATCCATCTTAATATTCTCATTTTTTTCATACTCAATTAACCACCCAACTTTTGAATTCATACAATATCATCAGTTTAATTGTACTTTTATAAAAATTATCGATTTAGTCACCAAGATATCCTCTTATCACTTATTCGTCTTAAGCTACTTCTCCATTCTAATAATGCGGCCTTAAGCATTAAGCAAACTTATAGCCATATAGTCCTCTACTTATGCCAAATTCATCGTGGCAAGACTGCAACATTGTTTTCATTTTGGAATTAAGATTGGATGTGGATATAATTTCATATTAGTGGCAATCAATAAATTTTTATTATATACATTTTGTTCCCTATTTTAAGACTGCTAATGCCTTTTTATGTGACCAAGTTATTTTTATATGAAATTATTCGTCTACAGGATCTCCCCATTTTTATTTTATTGAAAATGTAAGCTTTGTTAGCTGAAGTATTTATATAACTTTTACCTTCAGAAAGATTGACTGGCAAAAATTGT